TTATTAGGTAAAACGGTAAAAAAAAGACTATTAAATATTTTAAGTTTTATATTTAACGTAACGTAACGTCTTACGAATATTCTTGTACGGAGTCTCTAAACACATGCAAGGAAAAAAAACGTGTTTGAAAACAGGCGCAACAAAGAAATGCTAGGGAAGAGAAAAAATGCGTGCCTGAACGCGTCCGAAAACCTTGCAACGTAGATGGGACATAGAACGCGTAGAAAGGAGAAAGAGAAGAACCCAGAATGAGAAGCGTGTGCGAGAACGAGTGCAAGGGAAAAAGGAGTGCAGGTCCAATGGGTGCAATGCTTGGGAGGAAGAGAGAACGCGTCCGAAAACCTTGCAACATAGGTGAGACTGAGAACGTTTATGAGAACGGTGGGAGAGAAAACGCTTACGAGAACGAGTACGAGAGAGAAAACGTGTCCGAGAACGGGAGAGAGAACGTGTACAAAAACGGGTGCAAGAGAGAAAATGATTCTGAGAACAGGGGAGAGAACGTGTTCAAAAACGGGTGAAAGGGAGAACGCTTACGAGAATGGGAAAGAAAATGTGTACGAAAACGCTAGGGAGGGAAAAACGTGTCCGAGAACACATCCGAAAACAGGTTCAACGCGTGGAAAAAAGAGAGAAGGCATAGGACCCAAGAGAACAGGTGGGAGAGAAAAGAGTAGGATAAAGAGCGTGGGAGGGAGAGACAGAAAATTGCGGCGTTTTACAAAATTTAGCAATAACAATTTAATTAACATTTAATTATATAATAAAATAATATTTAATCAATTAAATAACATTTAATTATATAATTAATTAAAAAACCACTCTTCCCGTAACATCATCCCCTTCCCTGTGACGTCATCCCCCCTGTGACATCAGCCCCCTGTGACGTCAACTTCCTCCCCATAGGATCCTCCTGCCCTACAATCCCCTCGCCATCATTTGGTCTAGAACTTGCCCTTTTTTACTACTGATATGAAAATCTGTTAGCAATATTACACATAAATTAAATTATATGCGTCGATCTCGTTTTTAGTTTTATTAGCGACTGAAAAAGGCTAAGTAAGTCGAAACTAGTTCGCTTCATTCAGAAGATATATATGACTTGAATATTAAATGTTTTATTAACTGACATCTGTGTTTCGCTCGTTTTTGGCTTCTTATTCTGACTTATTTATTATATAAATTCAAAATTCACTATATTACTTACCAGATGTGCAGAATATAGTCAGAAAACGTTTAAATTATTAAAAAATCGTTTTATCAAACTACTAGTTGAGGAAAGTAAATCCAAGCACAGTGGCAGTGCCATAAATAGCAAAATCGGTTGGAAGTATTTTACACAACTGAATTTCCTTTGTTCTACTGTGGAATACAAACAAATAAGTTCCTTACACTGAGAAAAAAATTAATAGTACTGACTGAATTTGTATAATTGTTTGATCCAATCATTGATTCAATAATTATTTAGTTGCACGAAGAAAAGTATAATTCATTCATGTCAACCATCAAAATTTTTAAATCAAGAATTAACTTTTTTTTGTTTTACGTAGGAGAAAATCTTCGCACAGCTCTTCACGGAGCGACGATTCTGACTTTACCCAACCATGTCAGGCTTGGCCGTCCTCGTTTCCACCGTGAGGGAAAGACGCCTATGGCCCGGTTTCCGTAGGTAGGTGTGACGAATTTCATGCCGAGTATATCGCAAGAGATATTACTCTACTATTAATCTAAAAACTCCCTTAATTACGCCCTCTTTAACAAAGAGTCCCCGGTACGCACTTATGGATTCATCAGGGATTCCTCTGCTTGTGGAGCACTCCTCTCTTGACCGGATTGCCATCTAAAGCAGCATCTACAATAAGACTTAAAACTTAAGATTTAAGAAAATTGACCAATCACAATCGATTATTCTTCTTATGT